ATTTTTTTTTCCCAATGTTGCCCCCACCGCGTGGAAAAAAAAAAACTTCCTCTTTTTTGGCTTCTTGAATTAGAAAGGGGGGGGTAAGGGGGGGGGGGGAAACGTTAGGAAACAAAACTTCCAGAACACGGCCACACAGCCTGGAAGACCCACACCAGCCATCGTATGCTGGCCGTGAAAGCCTTCGACAATACACAGAACTAATGCTTTCTAATAATGATTGCAACAGGGAAAATTTCGCAATTTTCCCCGAGATTTTGCTAGATAGATCCTTCAGTAAACCATTTAAAATCTCTGATTGGGGTCATCCCACATATTTGATAAAAAGGGAGAAATTAGTTTTGCATGCAGGTAAGTTATAAAGGGTAACTTCATAAAACACAGGCTGCTACCTGTATGTGCATTCCTAGTAAGGGATGTTCTTAATTTTTCCTCCAAAATCTTGCCACTGAGAATGCCCTTCTATGAGGACCAGAGAAGGTATTAAAAAAAGATTTAGGGGTAGTGTAATGGATGCCACCAAGGTCTCAACAGTAGTGAGTGCAAATATGTAACATTTTGACAAAGAAGGGTTGCTGACTGTGCTGGATCTCAATCTTTTTGGCCCAATACCAGCAAACGTTTGATTATATTTCACTGTATATTCAATTACTAATACCTGCCATTCTCCTGTAAAATATCTTCTCAGGGGACTATCACATACATGCACCATGGGGTTTTGTTAGGCAGGCATAATGATGGGCATGCTGCCAAGAATCTGTAGGAGACCAAAATGTTGGCTTTATACTTGGTGAGACAGATGGAAAGGCTTTAGATGATTCTCAGTTTCCAAAGTTGTCAGCTTATGTGTTTTTTTCTATAAACCAACAAATATATCCAGTGCAACTGTCAGTCTCTGATCATATTAAATATTCAGTTATCTTTGGATAACAAACTTGCCCAAGGAGAAGAGAGTAACAAAAGCTATATGTGAAAAATATGAAGATTGAAATCTGGTATTCTGTGCATGTTTACATAGAGGGAAGTCCCATTAAGCTGAATAGTTCTTTCAACTACAGTTTTTAAAGCCCATGGAATAGAAAAAGTTTGTTGCTTTGCCATATTCAGGTAAGCTAATGTATAGTTCCTTTTTAGAAAATAACAATTGTTAAGAATTCATCTGCACTTCTAACATTATTACTGTAACAACTAAGATTTTTTTAGAGTTACCCAGCCTGGACTACAAATATCTGGATGATACAGGAATCCAAATTAAAGCAGCCCTGATAGATAGTGGTCTTACCTCTGCTTGAAAACATCTCCCTGAATAACTACCAACTGGTATCAACTGTAAACTTGGCCAGCTTGCTGCTTATCCTTAAGTCAAGGTGATTTATGTTAAAAACAACACTGATCTCAAAATATATTCTTGATGGACTCCAGTTCTTATTTCTCTCCATTGAGTGAACTGCCCATTTATTTTTTACACATTGCTTTCTGTTTTTATACAGTTAGTAATCTGTAAAGAGGTAACTCCTCTTACCCCATGACCTCTAAATTTACTCAAGAGCCTTGAGGGATTTGGATACATTGGGATTTTCAAAAAGCTTTTGAGGATGTTGACAGCCTCATCTTCATCCATATATGTACCTGTCGACATGCTCCAAAAATGCTAGAAGGTATTTGCCACCTTGAGTTGACCTCTTTAATATATATTTATATAAAAAGGTGGGATAAAATAATAATAATAATTTATCTTTGTAGAATACATGCTTATTTTCCTTTAGCAAGGCTTGTTAATTGATCAAAGCAGAATAAAGTGCAATCATTATTTCCTGTGATTGGAAACTACATTTTACTCTACATGCTGTGCGGACCCAGGTTGGTTAGTTATAGTTCCGTTTGTCGCTCAAGCTCAGAAAACTGGTGTTGAGAAAGCCTTAGGTGCGGTGAACCATCAGTGCCTGCTGGAAATACGTCCACAAGATCAACAACTCATCCCAAGTCTCGTGCAAAGGTTCACTGATACAACAGCAACACCGCCTCAACTTGCCCTTCTCCCAGTAAAAAGCACTCGCTCGCTCCTGCCTTCCTCTCTTCTCCATGATCCTCCGGAACATCAGGACAGCCGTCTTCGACCTCTTGGACTACAACCCCCAGAATTCCCCAGCCAGCTGCCATGCCGGCTGCGAATTCAGACAGCCACGATCCAGCGCTCTAGCCCCCAAGTCTCAGACTTCTCCCCACGGCTCCCTCCTCTCTATGGTTTGAAATAGAAATACCCGCTCCCGTCACGCTGCAGCTACGCAGTAGCCCTGCGCCTAGCACGTGATATCAAGAGCCTTATTGGGCTGCGGTAATTCGAGAGCTCCGGCTGCCTAGAGAAGGCACGATTCCGTCCAGGAAGTCTCTATGGTATCCAAGAAGGGAGTGAAACCAAAGGCACGCTGGCGGAAGTGCTGCTTCCTCGTGCTTCCGGTTGGTACCTGGGTTGAAGGTGAGTTTTGGTAGCGATGAAGTGAGAAGGCTGTTGAGGTGTTTCTGGGAGTTTATCGAGAGGGCAGCCTGCAGAAAAGGATGGAGCGGGGGCTTTCTGCGTGGATCTAATCCCGAGGCGAGGCTGCACGCAGAAAAAGGGGGGAAATAGGATGGACAACACCAATAGGTTTGCTCACTTTCATTATGGAAGCAGGTAGAAAGACGCGCACACGACCATAACTCAGGGCCCTTCCCGATCTCTTTTCCGTATTCCCTCCACCATCGCCAACATCAGCCGCAAAACGATGATCATTCTGAAGTTGAAGGTCTAGAGATCAGGCATCCCCCTTTCTACTTCAGGTTTTTTTTTTTTTAATTTTAAATTTTAATTAATTAGGCATCCCCCTTTCTACTTCAGGTTTTTTTTTTTTTAATTTTAAATTTTAATTAATTAGGCATCCCCCTTTCTACTTCAGGTTTTTTTTTTTTTAATTTTAAATTTTAATTAATTAGGCATCCCCCTTTCTACTTCAGGTTTTTTTTTTTTTAATTTTAAATTTTAATTAATTTTTTATACAATAAAAGTATACAAAATTTAAAAGATTAAGAAAGAAAAAAATATCGAAAATAAGAAAAAAGAAAATAAATGGAAAAAGAAAGAAAACAGAATTATGACCTCCTTTCTATTGAGTAATTGCCATCTTATTCTTTCCCCTTCCTTTTTGACCCTTTTTAATCCCCATCTCTTTCTACTTCAGGGTTGATACGGTGGCTTTATCTTGCCATGACACTGATTGGTTAGAGTGGGAGATGGGGCTTGGAGTGATTTATGCATTCTCACCTTTTATTAGCTGAATTGCAAATAGGATTAGGTTTCAAAAACAGGCTTCTAAAATACCATGTACAATTTTATTGATAGTGAATTTGCATGTATGTGTTTCTATGTTGGTGGAGTTACTGGCTTCCAATATTTGTGTTCTCCAGCTATAAAAAAGTCAATTACTTGAAGGTGTGATGGATCCTCTGCGGGCTCAGCAGCTGGCAGCTGAGCTGGAAGTGGAAATGATGGCTGATATGTACAACAGGTATTAACACCTATAAGTACAAAATTTTTAAGGCATAGCTATGTTAGCTTTTTAGCAGCAAAAACATAAAAAAGCTAACATTATTGTCTCATTCATTTTGGATCACACTGTGAAATCAAAATGCAGGACACAAAGGCAAAATAATCAAGGCTTCACTGCAGTGTTTATTAGGCAGTACGTACTGGAGGGGGACCCCACCAAAGGTTAGTGGGAGACACTCCCCTGAAGGCAAAATGGATGCCCTGATATTTATACAGTTCTACGAGAAAGAGGACGGGAAAAGAACGCATATGTATACATATTCATATGATGATGCAGGCATACGTAAATGTGCAATACTTCTCAAGTTACTGTCTGTCCCTGTTCTTGTCAGCTATCTCCAAGGACAGAACAACTGCTATCTATAAGGAAAGCAGTAGTGTCAGAGAGGAAGAAACAAATTGGTTCAAGATGCCAACTGCCAGGAAGAAGGCATTCTCCCTTATGTTGCTATGGGGATGTTTGTGATAAAGGGTTTACAATCAGCCTAGTTCATACCAGCTTCAAGGGTGCTGCACATTCCTTTATGTTTCAATTTTATTAAGGCGATCCCATGCATCTGAGGCCTCTAAAAACTTGCTTCTTTTACCCAAAGATTCACCCAAAGATATATTTTCCTCATAACACCATTGGAATATAATCATAGGTATCTGCAGCTAGCCAAGTTGATGCCAAAATGGCAAAACTTATTTTAGATTCTCATAAGGAAACTCCAATTATCTTTGATCTTTAATCATGGAAGCTAAGCTGATGGGAGTTGTGATTGTAGCCACAGGTTTCCCATCTCAAAATAGAAAGATCAGTGACTTAAAGTAGTGGCTTACAAACTGTTTGAGTATGAGAATCCATTTTAATGGTTTTTTTGTTTGTTTTAGTTTTTTGCAGTTCCCCACATTATTAGTATTTATACTTTTAGTATCTGTTGACTGAAATAAAACCATGATAAAAAGCTGTACATTCAGTAAATCATGTGTAATGCTTTTAAATGAATATGTATTTTATAAATTACAATAACATCTACTATATATACAGTTGAAAAAAATAATATTACATATATGTGTGAGCATTTATCAGTCTCTGGAAATATTTTGGCAACCTGCTAAAATGGTCCAAATGGATGAGGACAAAAAGGAAAAATAAAAGAAGCTACTTTTTATTGGCTAAAAGAAGCTGTTTCGCTGCCAGGGGATGGTGGTCAGTGCAGGTAATGCTGGAGCTCAGTGAAGCCTCCATGCTGGCCACTCAGGTGAGTGGATAGGCTTAGGAGCTCTTAGCTGTGGAGATGCTGTGATATGACTGAGAAGGCGTGGGCTCCCCTACTTCTGCAGCCCTGCTAGTAAGTCAAATGAGGGAAGCTGTTGGCATAGGACCAGAGAATGAGGCTAAGGAGTGTCAGTTTATGAGAGAAGGAAAATATAAAAAGGAGCTGGGGCAGGTGGAATACACAGGAAGCCCTGCTGAGATAGCTGGGTAGCTCTGGGAGGCAAGGAAAGCAGAGGAGGAGTATATGTACAGTGATACTGCTAGTATGGGGCAAGAGCATTTACGAGCAATTTCCAGGCATGATGCACTGAGTGTGGCAATGGCAGGAAGACTTGTATGCTGGGAGTAAGAGAAATACTGGCACCATCCAGGAGAAAAGAAGGAGGGACCAGACAAACCGACTGCTACTATTTATTTTAGTCTCCTCCTAGGCCAGCCCAGTATCTTGCTCCCTTCTGCTTCAACCCAGGCAGTGAAGCACTTCTTTTTGGTCAGTACCTGTCCCAGCCACAGAGCCGTGTGAGTGGGCTTTTTTATGTTTGATGTGTATTGTAGGCCCCTTGCAATGACTCTGCCGTTTCCCAATGGTCTGTGGCCCACAGTTTGGGAACTATTGATTAGGTATTTCTAACAGAATGCTATTAAGGCTCAAACGGTTAGAGGTAAAATTATATAAACAGCTAAAAATTGAACCTGTAATTCGTGAAGATAGTTGAATAATGAATGGATCAGTTTTAACGGGTAATTTAATCTGGGATAAATAACATGTGATTTAAAGTATTTTTTGTATTAGTATAATTGTGTATTATTTATTATCATTGTTTTATTTAGTACTAGTATCTGTCAACCTCCTGGAGTCCATTAAGGATTAAGGTGGAGATAAATCTCATAAATTAGAAATGCCAGAATGGCGCCAGCCTGAAAAGATGGCCTATGTCTGTTTTAATCCAAAATGTGTTTTTTTCTGAGAGAGATTAACAGACCAGTTTAGTAGTAAGTAATATAGGCATATTAAATGCTAAGCTATGCTATGCTTAGCAATAATATGGGTAAGAGAGTTACACACTACAACCCAGACATATTAACTGTTTGGTGGGAGCAGTTTTGAGTCCCTAGCCATTACATTAGTTTTTATGATGAAAAACAAACATAAATAGGTACATAGTTCCTTCTTAGGGTCATAGCCAACATCCAGGGGTTGGGGGAAGACCCTAGCCACTTTGTAGTCCGCTGGGGGTGCAAAACTGAACAGATTGGTGGAGATGCTAGTGTAGGTTTATAGCTGGAGGCTAAAAGGGAGAGTTGACTGTTGGTTAACACCTCTCTACCCCCTCTAAACTAGGTCAGATTACATACTTAAATAGATTATACATACGTAGAATTGCAGCTTTAGGAGTGTGTTAATGCTGGATGTTCTGTATTTTTACTTGTTCTTTTTCTTGTATTTAAAATATTTAAAATTTAAAATAATATGGTCAAAGCAAATTTTTAACATCTAACATTTAAATAATCTAAATAAGAAGTAACAGGACGTTTAGGGTTCTTCAGTCTTAGATGAGAGATATAGACATGATGAATTTGAAATGGCATACTAAGGTAGCATCGTAAGTTGGATTTGACTCCTGGTGAATGAATGGGCAAAATTTCACTGTCTCAACCTGTCTCTTAATAGTAACTTGTACCTTTTTCTTGTTTTAAATATAACTTTATTAAAAGTTTTAAAAAAGAAGATAAAAACTAGTGCAAACTAATATAAAGTAAGAAAAAGAAAGAAAAAGAAGGAAAACAAAGAGAAAGCTAAAAGTGCAAGTAAGGAAAAAAACAGTAAAAGAAAAATAGAAAAGAAAGAAAGATACAAAGAAGTGGCTTCCAATCTTCTGTACAGCAGTTATAAGTACAATTATAAATTTCCTTCTTTCTCTAAAGTTACAACATGTCTCCCTTTTTTCTATAATCTATCCTATCTAATCATCAAAACCATAAATCAAAGTTCATTTTTTTATTTTCCTCAAAAAGTCCATAAGGGGTTTCTAGTCAGCAATAAATATAGATTCTATCTTTTCTCTAAACAAAGAAGTCAATTTGGCCATCTCAACAAGTTCCATTATCTTCACCAACCATCCCTCCATTGTAGGTATTGCCGAATCTTTCCATCCTTGTGCATACAATAATCTTGCTGTAGTTATCATATACAAAAACAAAGTTCCATGTCTTTTTTCCAACTGCTTGTCCATCAGTCCCAAAAGAAAGGCCCCTAGTCTCAATTGTATATTAATCTTTAAAATCCTCTGAATCAGTGTATGTATTTGAATCCAAAATTTTAGTTATCATATACAAAAACAAAGTTCCATGTCTTTTTTCCAACTGCTTGTCCATCAGTCCCAAAAGAAAGGCCCCTAGTCTCAATTGTATATTAATCTTTAAAATCCTCTGAATCAGTGTATGTATTTGAATCCAAAATTTTCTAGCTTTTATTACCTTTATCTTTTGTTTTGTAAAATCCACCAATTGTCTGCACTCTTTAATAGTAAACCAAAAAAATATCTCCATTGGAAGGTCTGGTTCATTTATCTATTTTAATTTCAATATATTCAAAAGCACTTTCACCAAAAAATAATCTTTCAAAATAACTATCCCCTTTATCTGTTTTAAACTTCCTTACATCCACTCCTTGTTAAGCTTTTTACCAAAAGTTTTAAAATCTTTAAAATCCTTTTTTTCTTTTTAGTCCAGAAAGAATATTGACTCACCAAGTGGAATTCTGTTATCCTGCCGCTCAGAAAATCTCTCTTTAGCGGTAAATTAATTATATCCGAAAGCATTTAAGAAAGTGAGGCATATGCAAACCTTGTGTCCATATAGGCTGCATTATGGCTATGAGCTTGGTTGAAATCCCTCAATTCCCAGCTGCTGAACTCACGAGTCGACTGCAAAAACCTCAGTTCCTGCAGGCTACTCACAAGAAGCAGCTCTCTGGCATGCAAGTGGCAATCTCACAATATCTCCTTTGTTTGGAAAGAAAGCACCAGCCAGAATTCGCCGTCTGGTCGCCAACCTGCACCACAATGCTGTCCCAGCTCCTTCAGGGGCATCTAGTCCACCATAGATCCTCATCCAGGAGCTATAACCTGCAGCTTTTCCAAGGACATTTATTTATTTATTCATCTATTTATATACAGTAGCTGCCCATCTCACAACATGTGACTCTGGGTGGCACACAATAAAAGATTAAAAATAATATAAAAAACAACCAGCAATTAGAAAAATTTATATTACAATTAAAAAAGGCAAGGAGAGAGTGACAGATATTAACAACAGTGGAGCCAGATTACATTTAAGTAATCTGCCTGGATAGGGTAGAGCATTAGAATAGCTCTGAGAATGGTTACTGCAGCATAGTCTTCCTATCCCAATGGAGTCAGTGGTGAAGTAGCAGGCTGTTCAGCTGCCCTAAGCCACCATGCTTGCTGATTTGGTCGCATGAATAATCCTAAAATCTGCTGGAAGTCTCCATAAGTAGGTTGAAATGTGGTAAAAACAAGAGTCAACTGTTTCTTAAACTTGGCTAAGTCTTGGTGATTTTTAGGAAAAGAAGAGACCAAGTTCTTCTTTTCCAAGTAGATCTGTATAACTCCAGGGGACATGAATATCCATCATAAGACCTTGTCTCCTAGAGTCTGGTACTTGGTAGAGTGGTT